AGTGTATAGTGTAAACTGAGTATAATAGCGCAAATGAAATGTGAAATAAAGTGGCAATACCAGCGATTTGAGGTTATAATAATTTTAGCAGGCGCAAAGTTTGTTTACTCTGTTTTATTAACGAAATATATAAAATAAAAGTGAATAAATGATTTGGGTTGCATAAAATAATAACCGGAAACGTTTTAGTAGTGTTTTAAAAGTGGAAACTGGTGATTTAGTGCATTTTTGACGTGGTAATTGCTCATAGAAAACAACGAAATTTAACAAAAGTTCATAACTTTTAAATGGTTAATAATATTATCTCCGCCCCTCCGGATTGTTATTAGGGGGGCCGAAACGCTTCGTTTTGTACCCCTTCCGACTTTTCCGCACCTTTTTTAGGGGTTGTTACCCCACCCTAGAGAATTACCTAAGTGCCAACTTAATTTTGACAATGAATATGCCCAATTTTACTTTTGGTAGCCGATAATGCTTTACGAATGCAAATGAAATGCAATTAAGAATTCAAGGATGATCATTACAATATGAATTAGCCACGAAAACATGTTTTTTTATTTGTTTTATTTATTATTACTATTATTTATAAATTTTATTACAAATGCTTAATATTTTCTTAATGCAATATTTTATTTAAACGAACTAAGTACGCGATTTGGTTTTTTCACATATTAATTTATTAATATACAATATTTTAATGATGAAAAAAAGGTTTGGTATTTTGCACTCTTACCTGGTAGCATTTTTGATACCGACAAATTTTCTGTAGTGGCAGCCCTACCCGATTATCAAAATTGAGGTTATCGATTGAGGAGCTCTTTCGATGAAAGGGTAGTAAGAATTTATCGAATTTAATGCAATTCTATTAATAGTTGCGTTCCCCAACTTTTCTGGGTTAACCGGATCGCGAATAGCCCTAATGTAAAATTCCGCCATCCTGGCTTCGAAGACATTTATGTACAAACAGTAAACAAAGCCGAATTGGATGTTAAAAGAAAATGTCAAATAGGCCAATTTTGTTAATATTAAATTTTTCGTTAGGAAACGTGTTTTAATTGTGCTAAATTGTAAAAGTATATGATTTATAATAAGACTTAATACGGTAAATGAGAGAAAATAGTGATTTTTGTGGAAGTATTAGTGATTTTTTGAGTTTCAAATGTTCAACTATCTGCTTGTTGTGTGAACAGTATCGATAATCGCCGGTTCGTTTGAAGTGTAGCCGATAAAAGCAGAATCGATTACTATCTTATGCAAATGCATAAGCACATATCTACTTTATCTCTATTCTAAAGAATTCTAATGCGTAATTTGTTTGTTGGAAGTGTGCTAAAAATATTTTGTGGTTTAAAGTGAGTTAAATTTTTTATTAAAATGAGTAGCAAAAGGCATGTGAAAAGACTTATTAAAAATCAAAGAGAGTTGTATGTAAATAGTTTAATCGATGAAGAATCCCACAGAAATTCTGAAGCTTGTCGGCCAGATCTCTTAGAAGAAAATGACGCAGGCACAAATGTCGACGTAGCCTCTCCTCTGCCGGTTGTAGAAAATGAAAGTACTTGTCCAGAAACTTAAAAAAAATTTAGATGTACCGAGATGTGCGGAAACGCTTTTTTCTAAAAAAAGACAAAAGGCAGTCATTGGCAATGTTGAACCAGGCTTATATTGTCATATTGGCTTAAGTACTCAGCTGGAGAAAGTTTCCTATATAATTGGTGACGTTGATAAGATTTTGATAGACATTAATATTGATGGTTAGCCATTATTTAAAAGCCCTCGGGCTCAATTGTGGCCAATTTTGGTAAGACTAGTGGACTTTAAAGAAGTCTCTGTATTTCCCATCGGCATTTATGTAGGAAATAAAAAACCAAATGATGTATCTGAGTTTTTGAATCCCTTTGTGATGGAAATGCAAGGCATATTACAAAATAATATTAACGTGAGTGGAAAGTTCGTCGCAGTTGAAATAAGGGCATTAGTTTGTGATGCTCCTGCCAGAGCTTTTGTTTGTGGTACGCCCAGTCATGTATCTTCTCATGGTTGTGGCAAATGTACACAAATCGGAAGAAAGTTGAATAATGTCCTGGTATATAGTTCAGAACCAGGAGAGTTATTAACTGATGACGATTTTTTAAGGAGGAAATATGCAGGACATCACATTAAGAAATTCAGAAATACCATGACTCCTCTAGAAAACATTGGTGTGAAAATGATAACGCAAATAGCTTTAGACAGCATGCATTTACTAGACCTGGGAGTAATGCGAAAATTTTTGTTGCGATTACTTCAAGATAAAGTGAATGTAAAGGTAGAGAAAATAAAAAAGAAAAATATGTCTGAAATTTTAAAATCTTTATCTCCCTTTATAACTAAAGAATTCGTAAGGAAACCCAGGTCCATGGATGAAATACTAAACTGGAAAGCAACAGAATTTCGCCAAGTGCTACTCTATACGGGTATTCTTATCTTCAAAGACAATGTTCGTGATGACGTGTATTACGAATTTTTGCTTTTGCACTGTGCCTGTAGGCTACTTTTTTGCCCCAAATCTTACATGAACAATCTGTCGGTTGCAAATAACATGCTTTCATTGTTTGTTGTAAACTTTTCGCAGGTTTTTGGAGATTGTAGTGTAACTCACAACGTTCATCAATTATTGCACTTAACGGAAAACATAAAATCATTAGGGCTATTGTCGAGTTATTCGGCTTATGATTTTGAGAACTATTTACAAATATTAAAAAAATATGTTAAAAAACCAACACATATCCTCCAACAAATTGTAAATAGTGTAAATCAAGACAGTTTCATAGTAAAGGAAAAGCCGAAAGGGTTCAAAGTTTTCAAAAGTAAGGGCTTATGCTTCTTTTTTAAAGACAGTATATTTACGTCAAAAAAACCTGACTGCTTCTGTCTCATAAGACCTTATATACCGATAGAAATTCAAGGGTTTTCAAGTGACAGAGAGTTAGTAATAGGGAAAAAGTTTAAAAATTTGAGAAGTTTTTTTTTTGATCCAATTGATTCCATGACTATAGGGATATGCTTGGCAGACACCTCACCAAATGACGTTGAAATTATGTATTCTATCGAGGATATAGAGTGTAAACTGATAGGTCTTCCATATGAGAATAACATACTTTTGCTACCATTGCTACATTGTTATTAATCACTTTTATATAACCACTTTAATAAACGCTTCCAGCTGTAAAAATACATATACCCTAACAATGCCTAAAGACATAAAACGCGTACGATTTGCAAACATGGAGAACACACCATCATGTTGTAAGTTTCATATACGTAAGGCGAATTCATATAAGGTGGTATCTATTCTATAAATACAAATATTACTTGTATTTTGTTTTTGCATTTAGCGGGCGATTGTCGAATTTCAGCTATCCTTTTTCGAAACAAAAAGGGCGACAGAAAATTCAAATACCCTCACGTTTTCACTCACTCACTAGCGAAATTCAAAATTTTGACAATCAAACGCTACACCTTATATAAATCTGCCTTGGTTTCATAGAACATACCTTTATAAATATGTATACGTGTATTTACACTAATTTTATTTCCAGCTAAAAAGCCAGAATGCGAGGATTGCAAGTCTTTTCATAAAAAACTGACAACTTTGCAAGGTACGTCATACGTATTATTATTTTTTATGTAAACACTTTCTAATTTATCAATATGAACTCACTATATAACTAAATAAAATAAATCGTAATGTGTTATTTTTCAGAATCGGTTGAAAGCTTGAAACATGAACTTAAATGTAAGATTTTTCTCACATTTATTTGTGGTGCTTATTTTAATTTAAACCTTGTTTTATGTAGCTTGTATGACTTCGCAGAACGTTGCTGTAATGTCGGCGCTGGCGGAGCAAAAAGTAATTACACAGAAACTAGTACGACAAGATTCTCTGGTGGTTTCAATGAAATCCTTTTTCCCATTAAATTCAACAGAAGATTTAACAAATATTAACCATAAAGTCATACCAGAAACTCGCTCTATTATGGTGAGTATTAGTTGTCTGCGATCAAAAAAATACAAACGTATAGTAATATTTATGTATGTATGAAAATATTATATTTTTTGATAGATATCCACAATCAGAAGTATGCTTCAGTACTCTATTAGTAAAAACCTAAAAAATGTTTTTACTAACGATATAATAATGAATTATAACGTTGATGGAACTCACGGCAAGAAGAGTCTCAAAGAGTTCAAAAATTTGTATCAAGTATTAATAGGTAAACATTTTATTTAATAACAAGTGTAAATATTAAATTAACATGTGTATGTAACCTATTTTATTTCAGAATCAATAACAAGCTTGAGTAGCCCGGACGACCCGGAAACGCAGCTGAGAAAAGCACTTCAACTAAACAAAAAGCGTTTTTTTCAAAAAAGGCCATTGAGCCGAAATCTTCTCAGGAATCGTCCTAATAGGGGTGGGCAAACCATCCATAGTTATTCCTTTGGATAATGAGTATGTAGTCTTTTTAATACATGGTCTCAATAGTTTGTAGTTTTTTAGATTAAGATATTCAAAACATTAGTTTGAATGAACAAAAACAAAAAAATATAACGCTTCCCTAAATTATAGGGAAATTGAATTTTAAAGATTTATGGCCTTATTCATAAAAAATAAAGTATGTTTAAAAAGCTTTATAAGTTGACGTTTTCATAAATTTTTCAATTTATAAACCTTTTATAAAGCTACTTTATTTTTTATGAATAAGGCCATTAATTAATAAAACTCAGAGTTCGAAGCTTTTTGCAAAGTACAAATCCTTAAAATTTTCATTGAACATTTTACCTTTTCAATAAAACTTTTTAGAAAAAAATTCAGTATGCAGCTTTGTAGCCATTGAATTTTAGTATAATAAAGTTTGAAATACCTATCACGTACCGTGGATATTTGTTAATTTATTTATTTTTTGTTAAAAATGTTGGTGATTTTCTTCCATACAAAAAGATACGTTTTATGGAAAAAATGGCTAACACCTTCAACAACAAAAAAATATATAACAAAAACTTAAAATTTGCACTTTATTATACTGAAATTCAATGCGTTACAAAACTGCAAACTGAAATATTTTCTAAAAGGTTTTATTGAAAAGGCTGAGTTTTTAATACAAATTTAAGAAATTTTAAATTTTGCAGAAAGTAAAAATTATTTATTTAGACTAAACAGAAAATGATTTCCCTATAACTTTTAATAGCAGTATACTGACCGTTTAAAACGAATTTAAAATTAATTTTTTGAAGATATTATTTTTGTTAATATTTGGAAAACGATGGAGAAATTTTTCGTTTGTTAGCAGTTTTATACATTAATGTACGTTAACGCTTACTTTTATTTTAGAAAACCACAATAAAGAATTATTACGTAACAAACTCATGAAGTGAAAGCAAAGTTAATTACACAGGTTAACAAAAAAAAAGTGTATGCATATTAAACCAAACCTATATATCCCTATGTTATTCGACACGCTGAATGCGAATCCGAAATCCGTTAGTCTCCACCACGTCAGGTTCGTGGTCAGTTGAAGGTCAAGTAGGGAAAAATTCATTGAATAAACCTTAAAATTCATATACATTCGGTTTTACATTCGCTGAACCCGAATCCGAGGTCCGTTAACCTCCATAATGTCAGCTTCGAGGTCATTTGAAGGTCAAATAGGACATAAAATTTATTCAATAAAAATTAAAAAAAATAATTTGTTTTTATTGTCACTGAAACCGAGTATGGAGGTCCCCTGATTCCTCAAGGTCATCTGGAGGTCATGCCAAGGTCATCCCAAGGTCAAATTCCGATGAATTTTATTGAATTTTCAGGTTTATTCAAGGAATTTTTCCCTACTTGACCTTCAAATGACCACGATGGAGGCTAACGGACCTCGGATTCGCATTTAGCATGTCGAATAACATAGGGATATATAGGTTTGGTTTAATATGCATACACTTTTTTTTTTGTAAACCTGTGTAATTATTATATTAAAGAAATTTTTCAAAGTGCAAATAGAAGTTAATGCCTTAGTTTAATAAAAAAATCATGTGATTCAATTTTTTAATTTTAATAGCCTAAGACATTGCAATAAGTTCGAATGAACACCAAATCACAGCATCTCAATGAATTATTAATTTGAAGTATTAATTCATTTTTAATAAGAGTTGTTGCCTTAGCTTTCTAAAGCAATGTGTGAAAGAATATTTAATCTTTTGTATTTTATACAAAAAGAATTGCGGTCTAAATTTGTTTTTTTATAATAAAAAAATAATAAAAATTTGAAAGTTAGTTTTTTTTTATACAGTTAAAATAATTGTTGTTTTCATAAGATCTACATAAAAGTAATTCCTAAACGTTTTATAACAAAACTTATAGTAGTTATAGTTCGTGCTAAATATTTAACTTTTAAGAGCATTTGTTTGTTTTAGCTATTAATTAAAAAACAATAAGAAACATTTCAAATAAAAGCTGAAAATGATGAAATAAGTTAATCTAAAAAATTCATTTGCGCTTTTTTATTTATTTTTTTCTGTTAATCCAATCGTCTAAAGTGGTGATTTCAGACTAAAAATGGACTAGAATTTTTTTATCGTTGCGAACTGGTATTTAACCGGTATAAACTGACGCAGATTTGTATGGTCCAAATATGGTGATTTTGGAGTATTATTGAACTACAATTTTTTTAATCCCAGCGAACTGGTATTTAACTGGTATAAACTGACGCAGATTTGTATGGTCCAAATATGGTGATTTTGGAGTATTATTGGACTAAAATTTTTTTAATCCCAGCGAACTTGTATTTAACTGGTATAAACTGACGCAGATTTGTGTGGTCCAAATATGGTGATTTTGGAGTATTATTGGACTACAATTTTTTTAATCCCAGCGAGCTGGTATTTATCTGGTATGGGACTGATGCAGGAGCGGACAATTGGCATCTCCTCTGACATCGCCATGTTAAAAATACCAGTGGCTAACACTGAAAAAGTATGCAACGTGAACTAGTTGGGCTGAAAAGCAAACTGGTAGCATTCTAGTTTACAACTGGTAGCTTTCCCTGCAGGGTAACTTCAAATCGATATATCTCGATTCCTAGACGTGACCCAGCGAAACGCCGGGACACGTATAACTTCTTTTTTACCGATATAACTTTCCCCGGTAGTTTGAACCCTTCCCGATCACTGACCCCTACCATTTGTCTCACAGTGTTATGAACGGCGAATGAACCTGTTTACACGACACACTCGTGATTCACTTTGCATCTCTGCTTCTTGTTCTTTCCTTTTGTTTAATGTTTAATGTGCTGTTAATTGTGCATTTTAACGGTGGAGAAAAAATTTGTAGTGGTTAATTAGCTAAATCAATAGTTTTAACGAATCTAACTATTTTTTCAATGTTTGTGCTGGTGGAGATGTGTGTGGTCTATGTGTTTTGACAGCCGTTATCGATAAAAATTAGAGAAGACAACGATTTGTTCTTGATTGGATCTGAATCACCTACGAATGAAGCGATTCGCTCTAAAAATTGTGTATGGCGAATTACATGATTCGGTTCGTAATTGGGGTGCCAATCACGAATGAGAGAGCGAATTACAAATATGAGAGCGAATCACTTGCCGTGGAAACATCGTTTAAGGGTGCGATCAAACACACCGTTTTTATAAATGTATTGTGTACGTGAGTGCCGTTTATGTGTATGTGTTATGTACATGCCCTGTGGGGAAAATTGCAAGTTTTGAACTGGTGCATTTCTAGTACATTTAGAACCCCTACTACATAGTTCGCGATAAATCTCGTTTGCATGCAAACAACTGGCCAATTTAACAGGGATGTCATAGGAATTGGAAGCTGTCCCCCGCTGCATTACCTTTTCTATAGTTCAGAACCAGTCCTAAATTCGACATACGGAATCTAGTTCGCTTTGCACCCCATTTTCTATAGTTCAGAACCAGTTGTAAACGAAAAAAGTAACCATATATTTTCTTTTTGGGTTACCATGGTAGCAATTTTTAATTATTTGCAAAGAAATGTACCCTATAGGGAAACCCCGAACTGGTGAACCGNTGCACCCCATTTTCTATAGTTCAGAACCAGTTGTAAACGAAAAAAGTAACCATATATTTTCTTTTTGGGTTACCATGGTAGCAATTTTTAATTATTTGCAAAGAAATGTACCCTATAGGGAAACCCCGAACTGGTGAACCGAATTTGTAGTTCCGTGCTAGATCTTTATCGCCAAAAACGAACCAGTCCGATAGTAACTAGATCGCCACCAGTTCAAAAGCAGTGATATGTGGTACTTTAAAAAAAACCATTTTAGAAATCTATATCTAAAATGACGAATTTAAAACTCGTTCAAAACTATGGAAAAAGGGATGCAGAACGAACTAGATCTCATCTGGAGAATTTTGAACTAGTTCGAAACTACTGAAAAAGGGATGCTGCGGGGGCTTGTTTACTTTAAATAGATTTTTGCTTGGCGGGTTTTTCGTTCAAATACGCTTTCAGTCTGCACGTCGCAGATGCTTTTTCATAGTTTGGTAATACAAAACTAAAATTTGTGTTAACAGCTTAACATTTTGTGGCCTTCTGGAATATAACCAATAACAGACAGCACCTCTGCAAATTCAGCTACAGCCAAACGTATGTAAACGTGTTTTCAAATGCAAAATTTAATTTACGTTCATTCAAACTAATTTGATTTCAGCTTGAAAATACATTTCTCTGCAAATAATTAAAAAATGCTACCATGGTAACCCAAAAAGAAAACATCTTGTTACTTTTTTCGTTTACAATTGGTTCGAAACTATAGAAAAGGGGATGCAAAGCGAACTAGATTCCATATGTCGAATTTAGTACTGGTTCTGAACTATAGAAAAGGTACTGCAGCGGGGGACAATTTCCAGTTCCTATGACATCGCCGTGTTAAATTCGCCAGTTGTTTGCATGCAAAAGAGATTTATCGCGAACTAGTAGGGGTTCTAAATGTACTAGAAGCGCACCAGTTCAAAACTAGAGATTTTCCCCACAGGGTATTTTCAATCTGAAATGAAATTTGTTTGAATGAATGTAAATTAAATTGTGCATTTGAAAACACGTTTACATACCTTTGGCTGTAGCTGAATTTGCAGAGGTACTGACTGTTATTGGTTATATTCCAGAAGGTCCCAAAATGTTAAGATGTTAACACAAATTTTAGTTTTGTATTACCAAACTACGAAAAAGCATCTGCGACGTGCAGACTGAAAGTGTATTTGAGCGAAAAACCCGCCAAGTAAAAATCTGTTTAAAGTAAACAAGCCCCCCGCTGCATCCCTTTTTCAGTTGTTTCGAACTAGTTCAAAATTTGCCAGATGAGATCTAGTTCGTTCTGCATCCCTTTTTCTATAGTTTTGAACCAGTTCTGAATTCGTCATTTTAGATATAGATTTCTAATCTCGTAAGAAACTACAAATTTTGGTTCACCAGTTCGGAGTTTCCCTACAGGGTGTTTATTTCCTTTTCTTTCGTACGTGTTTATTGATATATCTATACTGTAATGTTTTCGGACGGTACTAGCTCTTACTGCCAATATAGGAGTATTACATATGTATATGATTTAAGATATTAGCTTAAT